GCGCGGCCCCGCCACGCCCTACGCGGCTGCGCTTGCCCTCCCCCTCCCCGGCGAGCGCGGGCGCCGGCTCGTCCCCCACCCTCTCGCCCCGGCCGACCCCTCCCTCTCCCCCACCTGTGGGGAACACCATGCCGGCCTGTGACATCAGCGACCGGCGGAAGGGCACCACCATGAGGCCGCCCGCCACCCCGACGAGCAGCAGCCACACGACCCCCTGGGCATAACTGAAGTCCAGCACGTCCCCGGACCTGCCAGCCGGCTGCGTCGGGCCTGCCGCGTCCCGCGCCGCCTGCGACAGCGCCCCGACAAACGGCCCGAACCCGCCGGTGACGACCGCGCCCGCGGTCGCGAGCGCGGCCGCGGACGCGACCGCGACCTCCTGCGGCGCGAGTGGCGCGATGCAGGCCATGTCGCGCCCCAGGACGAACGAGTAGCCGCGCAGCAGCGCCCAGCAGGCGAGCGCTGCGGCGACCTGGAAGGAGGGCACCAGGCCAGCCGCCAGGACCAGCCGCTGCGCCAGCAGAGCAAACCCGAGCCCGACCGCGACGCCCGCGCCCAGCGCGCGCGCCGACAGCTGGCGCGCGAGCGGCGGGAGCGGGCGCGTCGCGCCGGGCGGGACGATTAGGCTGCTGGGCGCGACGCTCGCCGCGTCGTCGCCGCCGCCGCCGCCGGCGGCGGCGGTTGCGCGAGGGCCTTGGTCAACGGTGAGTACTGTGTCTGCTGATTGGAGCTCGGGCGACTTGCCCAGCGGCGCGGCTAGTGCGGCCAGCGGCAGGTCTGGGCTGACGCGCTGGGACCCCACGAGGCTGCCGCCGCCCATAAACGCGTTGCTGCCGCCGCTGCCGCCGCCCCCTGCGGCCGCCGCCCCCTGCGGCGCGGTCGCGCCCGGCGCCTCAGCGTCCGACGCCGCGCGCCCGGCAACGCGGCGTGTCAGCGGCACGCCGTCGTCGTCGCCGTCGTCGTCGCCGGGCGCGCCTGGCAGGAGCTCGGCCGGCGGCGGCGGCACCGCGGCGGCGCCGGGGCCGCCGCCGAGCGCAGACAGAAAGCGGGCGCCAGCAGCAGACTTAGGGGTCGGCCCCGGGGGCGGGTGCTCCTGCTCCTGCTCCTGCTGCTGCTGATCCTGCTGTCCCCATGGGGTTGCCGTTGCTGGCGCCACCGCCGCGGCGTCGGCCAGGCTCGCGTGCGACCCGCTGGCCTTCAGGGCAGGCCTGCTGGGGACCGCGCTGGAGTTGAATCGCCCGCCGGGCGCTGGCATCTCGCGAACCTGGCTGGGCGCGGCATCGTCCGCGCCGCTGGCCTGCGCCGACTTATCTCCAGCGCCGGACCCCTTGAAGAGGCGCGAGAAACGGAGCGGCTGCGTCGACGCCGCTACGCCCACGTTGAGCGTGTTGTCAAACTGCACCCCGCTGCCCGAGCGCTTGTGTCCTGACGGCTGATTAGTCGAATCCTGCTGTCCTACCTCCACAGAATTCGGTGTGGAGGCCATGGGCTGCCCTGGTGAGGCGGGTGTGCCTCGCCGGGGCTGGTCAGACGGCCCACACGAAAGGTGTGCAGTATATTATTAAAAATACAAACACAGTGCGACCACCGAATGAGCCTGCTACGGGCCAGACGCCTTGCAAGCCGGCTCGGCTGCCTCTAACGCGGTCCGAGAGCGCAACTTCAACGCGCACTGTGCACGAGATGACGTGGTGCATGAGACATTTGCTGCGTACTACTGGCACCATCTACGGGCAGGAGGGCACACGAGCTGCAGGACAGCTTCTACGCCCAGCTGTCGCCTGCAGCCGCAGGAAGTGCCGCGGGCCGGTCTCGCGGTCTGCTGGGGAAGGGCGCCGCGGCCGTGTGTGGGGTGCATGTTGTAATGAGCGGAGCAAAGCATCATTTATGTGTGATCATTGCAGGCGTGCTGACCTGCCATCCAGTCCGCTGGACCAGACGGTCAACATGGAGTGTGGCAGGGCAGCCCTGACGTACCTGTGGCCGTGCTGCATGCTCGGCCCCACTTGCACCATGCACGGCCCCTGTTAGGACCCCTGAACATTCAACATGCCTACACGAGGTGAAAATCCAGAGGACACCCTGCTCCATGTTTGGGCGCCGCACTGTCACTCGCTGTTGACAAACTTTTTGGGGGGCAAGACACTATCAGTCAACTGGAGACGTGCTGCGTTCGAGTTGTCCTGACAATGCTCAATGCCTTGCTACTTATCTGACTTGCTGATCCAGCAGGCTGTGCAATCTGCGGCTGCGCTTGCTGAGAAAGCCCAGGAGGGTCCGAGGGTCAAAACCGCGCGCGCACTGTGCATTGGGTCGGGCTGCAGCCCGCTGTTGTGGCACCCTTGATCAGCAGAGAGGACAGCAAGAATGTTTAAATGGTTGGCGGGGCAGCAAGGTGCAGGTGCGGGCCTTTGCTTGGTGCTGCGCCATCACTCAGCCCGAGGGGGTGCGGTGGCGAGCAGCTCAAGCTGCAGCTGACCGACGCAGCGGGGACCTCGGTTCAAGGTCGCTGTGTTTCACTTTGTGACGTTTTGTTATCATCTCTGTTTCTTGATTACAGCTGCGGGCACGAGTGCTGCTGTCCTGATCAACCACCTCGACAGACTCCCTGCCCGCGCGGCACAGGGAGCCCGCAGCAGGATCTTGACGTCCGGTGCATCAGCTGTTGTTTAGGCAAAGCCCCTCGCCAGCGCAACAGCACACTCGTTGATCACTCCCGCGGCTGCCCAGCCACGGCACGCAGATCCACTCCTGAGGCCGTTTAGGTGTGTTCACGGACCGGGTCAGAGGTGGTGGTTGAGTGCCCGTCGGTCGTCCTTGAGGCCCCTGCTCAAACTGCTGGGCGGAGCGCGGCGCGCTTCCAGCACCTGCAGTGGCAGCAGCAGCAGCAGCAGCAGCAGCAGCAGCAGCAGCCAACTCAACCATGCTGGATGGCGGCATGACTGATCATGCTGCGATGAGCTTTGAATCATGTTATCACCAGCACAGTTCCCGGGAGACCGACACCTCGCTCGGCGCAGTCACACAATGCCTCACCCCGCCCCGCCCCACACCACCCCCGCAGCGCGGTCCCCTAGCACCCAGAAGCCCCAGCCGCCCGCCGGCCCCGCGCCGCCGCGTCCCCCGCAGCAGCCATGGTGCGGCCGCTCGCCCTGGTGAAGCCATTCCTGAACATCCTGCCGGAGGTTGTCCCGGCAGAGCGCAAGATCCCCTTTAAGGAGAAGGCCATGTACACCATGGTCACCCTGTTCGTCTTCCTGGTCTGCAGCCAGCTGCCGCTTTACGGCATCCAGACCAACTCCTCCGCCGACCCCTTCTACTGGGCGCGCGTCATCATGGCCTCCAACCGCGGCACCTGCATGGAGCTCGGCATCAGCCCCATTGTGACCAGCGGGCTCGTGATGCAGCTCCTCGCGGGCTCCAAGATCATCGACGTCGACAACAGCGTCAAGGCCGACAGGGACCTGCTCAACGGCGCCCAGAAGCTGCTCGGCGTGCTCATCACCATCGGCGAGGCCGTCGCGTACGTCGTGTCGGGCATGTACGGGGACGTGAAGGAGCTCGGCACCGTCAACGCGGTGCTCATCATCGCGCAGCTGTTCTTCGCGGGCATCATCGTGATCTGCCTCGACGAGCTGCTGCAGAAGGGCTACGGCCTCGGCAGCGGGATCTCGCTGTTCATCGCCACCAACATCTGCGAGTCGATCATCTGGAAGGCGTTCAGCCCCTACACCATCAGCGGCGCGCGCGGCGCTGAGTTTGAGGGCGCGCTCATCGCGCTGGTGCACCTGCTGGTCACGCGGTCCAACAAGCTGCAGGCGCTCAAGGAGGCGTTCTACCGCCCCAACCTCCCCAACATCAACAACCTGCTGGCCACCTGCCTCGTGTTTGTGGTGGTCATCTACTTCCAGGTGGGGGGCGATGGTTGCCTGGACGGATGTGAGTGTGCGTGTGTGTGCACGCGCGTGCGCTCGGGGCAAGGTGGCGGCGTGGGAGTGGCGCTGCCGCCTGGACATGGCGCTTGGGGTGGTTGGCTGAGACTTGCAATGCGGTCGGCAGCTTTTGGGGTTTGAGCATGGGGTCAAACCCTCAGCAGCACCCCTGACCTGCGCCCCACAACAGTTCGGCAGCATTCCTATGGCCGCCAACCTGCCCCATGACGCCCTGCCCTTGGCCCCCCCCCCAAAAACAAACAGGGCTTCCGCGTGGACCTGCCCGTGCGCAACAAGCGCTCCCGCGGCCAGCAGGGCAACTACCCCATCAAGCTCTTCTACACCAGCAACATGCCCATCATCCTCTACTCCGCCCTGGT